CTTTTCATCTCCAGAGTAATATATCATATGGTCATCTGACTCAAAATGCCCCATGCCAGTCCATCTCATCTCTCCAATGCCTAATATGTCATTACTCCTCAATAATTTGGGACGCTCCCTAACTGCAGATTTCCCCAGGGCAATGCATCTCCTTATTTTCCTTTCCTGACTGCTGGTGGGAAGAATATTAATTGTGGATCCAAGTAAGATGAAGTTAACAGTTTCAGTCTCTTGTCCATCCATCATGATGTTACCTGTTGGTCCAGTGCTAAGAATCTTTGTTTTCCTGACATTGAGATGCAGTCCATACCAAAGACTGCATTCCTTGATCATCTGCAACAAGTGCTTGAAGTCTTTCTCACTTTCAGCAAGCAAGGTTGTATTACCTGTATTCATCTGAAAAAATTGAACATTGAATAAAGATGATTGAAGAAGAATTGATGCCTTTGAACTGTGGTTTTGGGGAAGAGTATTGAATATCCCATGAATTGCCAAACTAACAAGTGTCTATCTTCGAAGTGCAAAGAGGGTGTTCCTTGGAGGCAAGGATGGTGATACTTGAAGTTATATCCTTTGGGCCTTAGGCAGGAGGAACAAATTCTTAGAAAGACACCATCCTAGGAGGATAGAGGGGCAGAAAAAGAGAGAAAGATCCTCAAGGAGATGGATTGGCATGTTGTTTGTTATTATGTACCATTGAGTTTCCTGTGATTCATAGTGACCCTGTGTACAGCCCTAAACTCTGATCAGTGCTATGTCAATCTTATTGTCTCTGAGACACCTACCTCCATTACTCCAGTTACTGAATTAATCAGTCTTATCGAGGGTCGACATAGTGTCTGTAATAATGATATTGAGCATAGGGCAAGATTCATAGCTATTGTTCATAAAGGTCTCCGAGGCATAATGTATTCATTGGAACCCCCCACCAACGGAAGAGGTATCTGATACTGTAAATCTTGAAGGGAGCAAGACTGCCTCATCTTCCCTCATGGAGCGGCTTTTGGTTTCAACTATCAACCTTGCAGTGAACAATATAATAATTAGTTTGCAGTGCCACCAGAGTTTCCTGTTGTTGTTATGTTCCATTGAGTCGCCTGTGACATGTAGTGATCCTATGCACAGTAGCTCCAAACTCTGTCCTATCCTGAGCCAGTCTCACTACCCTCATTACCCCAATTACTGTGTCATCTCATTGAGGATCTTCCTCTCTTGCACTGTCCCTACACTCTTCGATGCATGCCATTCTCCAAGGACTGTTCCCTCCTGGCCACGTGCCCAAAGTATGTGAGACAGAGCTTCAAAATCCTTGTTTCCAAGGTGAACCTTGGTTTCACCCTCTCCAATACAGACCTGTTCTCTTGGCAGTCCATGATATGTTCAGTACTCTTCTCCAACACCACAATTTCCTGCAAACAAAGATTTGTCCTGATTATTATGCAAGATTATGTGAATGTTAATGATTTTTTTTTAATGACAAAATAAGCCAATGTTTATTTCCTTTTTTTTTGTTTTGCAGCAATGCACCTCTTGCTTTTTCCTCCAAAGTATGTTATATTAAGTTTCGTGATCCATCAAGTGTTGGTGTGGCCCAGCATCTTACTAATACGGTTTTTATTGACAGAGCTCTGATAGTTGTTCCTTGTGCAGAAGGTTAGTATCTTACATGTTTTTCCTATTGCTTTAAATGTGTCCTGTCTATTACTTATCTTTGGCTTTCCTAGAAATTTGCAAGTAAACAGTATTTCTGTTTGTTAAAGCAAGAATGAAATGAAGAGAAAGAAAAGATTTTTATATTTTCTGTATTAGTTTTATTGATTTATTACTTAGATAGAAGTGAGATTTTAACAGCTAAACATTTGCACTTACTAAATTGCTTGGCTTCTCTTTGCTTTGGCTTTCTGTAGTCTTTCCAAATTAGAAAAGAAAGCTTTCTGTCTTTGCAAGTTGTAAAAAAATATTCTTAAATTAAAAATGTGATGTTGGGAAGGGAAGTTATTATAAATGCCTTTAAAAAAATACTTAAGGACAACAAGAAATACTTACTGAGTATATAAGATTATTACATAAAAACGAGTACACATTTTGCCATATTGAAGTTAAATGACATTATCTAGCTTTGTAAAAAAATCTACACTTTAAAATATCCTTTCAGATAATTTAGTTACTATGAAACTGTTCATACCTATTAATAGTTTAGTGAGCAAGTAGAATTTTTCTTCTATTGATTTTTTTTTTAAATTGAGAAAGATCATGGAAAGCAATTTTCTAGATCCTCTATCATGGAAAGATAGGAACAAATAAAATTTTATAACTTAAACTGCTCTAAGAACTGATAATTACTAATAATTATTTTTTACTTTTATTTATGGAATCATTCACATATAAAAAAACTACTTTGATAGTGCTGGTGTGTAATTAACATTAAGATCAGTGATTATGGCATGTGTCTTACATGGGCCCTAGAGTTGAGTTATTTCAATTTAAATATTTTCAAATACATTCTTTTCTAGCAAATGGTGATAATATAGAAAAGTTTATCTGAAACAGTTTAATGAAATGATGTCATTTATGATGTTTTAAAACTTTTATAGGCTAAGTTAATAGCCTAAGTAATGTGAAATTTTGCTGTACTTTCAAAGTTTTATGTTTTGTTCAGAATAACCATTCTTGGATGCTAAAAACATTAAAATTATATATAGCAAATATAATTCTAGTATTTCTGACAACAGAGAACTTGGGTGATGCAGTTTATAGGCAGTTGTGCTTCTAACTTTAAGGTGGCGTCTGTCAGGTGGTTTGCAACCACTAGTGGCTCTGAGGATTAAAATGGACAACTTTCTCCTGTGAGATTTACTGCTTCTGAAAACCTGCTGAAGGGTTAGCTATGAGTCGGTTCTGACTCCACAGCGGTGACTGAGTTTTGACTTTGAGAATAAGACATTCTAGATTTTTAAGTTTTCTTCCCTTGGTTAGGAAGGGATTGACTTGAGCGAGAGAGAGAGAGAGAAAATAAAAGAATATTTTCAAGTGTGTCCTTCTCTGCTAATCTATACAGCTCTGCCCTTCCTGTATTGGCACCAGGAGGGTAAGGACTTCTCTGGAGAGGCCAGAGGCTTGGCCCCATGCTCCTCTCCTCTCCCCCCAGTAACTTTCTTTTCCTCTCTTTCTCTCTCTCTCTTTTTTTTGTTTTTTTGTTTTTAGATAAAAGTTTTTGGGGAAAAATTCTAATAAAAGAATTAAAATGGAAAAAAGAAAATAAGCCCTTAACCCTAGAATGAGGTGGGGAAGGCCTAATGACTAAACCTAAGTCCTTACTACCTTGTAAAATTTCTTATCAATTAAATTCTATGGTGAAAAGAAATAAAGTAGAAGATTTATTAAATTAGGAATTAACGTAAATCTGAAAATTATGCCACCACCAACACAGCATTTTGTATTATGTATATTTACTGCTGAATTTGAAGGAAGATTTTTTTTAAATACGGTATTGTTGAAACTATGCTAAATTCCCATAGAAATTTATCTGAGGAGCCCTGACCCTGATTTATCGTAAAAGTTCAAGGTTATGGTCAGGGAGAAATTTTTGTTTGATTAATTTAATAGTAATGATTAAAACAGACATTTATTTACAGCTTTTTAATATTTTTAATAGTACCATTTGGGAATAAAAATCTAAGCATATTTTTATTGCAATTTAGTAATGAGTAAGTATATAATTTAGAACACTAACCTATAAAATAATAGGACTAGGAAAACATTCACATCTGCATTATTCATTAGTTAAATACCACAGAGGAATTTATGTAGACTGGAGCATGCGTAGTGAGCTGATAAAAAAAACTGATTATGCACTGCAAGAAAATAAATTATGCATTGTTTTACTAAAAAGGATCATAAAATAAGTTTGAAGCAAATGAGAGTCCCAGTAGAGTAAGTTGTGTAGGAGATGTACTTTGTTGCTGTAAGCAGTCTTCTAACTCCAATGACTGCACTACTTTCTTGTTGCTTTAGAAACAGAACAGAAAATTGAAAATCATAGAATTAAAGTTTAAGGAAAATGTTTTAATTTTCTTTCAATTTGGTGTTTTTTTCAGTGAAGATACCAATGTGCTAAGATCCCAAATTATAAAAGTAATGTTTAATGTCTAATAGTTTCATACATATTGAAGACTTGCTATTGTTAATGTAAAGTGACATTTCAAAATAAAATAATACTTTCATTATACTTGTCCAGATGTGACTTCTTTTTTTTTTATTTTTTTTTTGTTGCGTGCATTTCAGATTTCTTTTTTATAAATGTGTTAACAGAAAAAGATAAGGTCAAACATAACAAGGGTGTCAGCCTAATCATCAGTCATAACTTTTATGTCCACATTTTCTGGTAGATGGATTTTGACTATTAATTTGGTTTTGTATGTTTTCTCTATGTGATATTTGTGCATTATTAGATGACTAGACTGGCCAAGGCAGACCTGTTACACTTGCCTGAGTTAGGCATTGTTTGCCATGCCACTAAACCTGCCGTCAAGTGAAACCTTCATTGGGGAAATGAGATCGGAGTCTGAACCGCAGAAGATGGACGCCCTGTCTCTGTTTTTTATTGTTTTACTTTAATTTTCTTTCTTTTTCTTTATTTTGTCCCTTTTTTTTGTTTTTGTTTTTGTTTTGTTAAATCTCTTTTACTTTAACTTGTGAACTGGTTTTCCAGTTCTTTGTAAATGATATTCCATTAAAGGTTCATAACATTGTGTTGCAAATGATATTGGGAGATGTTTAGCAGAGCTCTACCTTAAGATAAAATATATTTTCTTGCGGTAAATTAGAATGCGTGGTTTTAAAACTCGGTATGAGTCTTAATTGGTGTTTATAAACTGCTCAGGTACATTTTGTTCCTGAAATACTCAAACACTGGTAAGAACCTTAGGGATACTTTCTGACCTCAGTGAAGCATTTTTGTATTTTTTTCCAAGTTCATCTGCCATAAAAATCAACTGAATAGTTCTAATTTTTTATTCTCCCCCTAAATTTTTAAATATATATAGTCATCAAAGAAAATATAATTTTATAAAATAATCAAGGGTAGAAGAAAAGAGACTGAAGACTTTAATCTGCTTCTTGTGGAATGAATATTTGAGAAGCTGTTACATATTTGCATGTGTGTTTTTCTGTTGGCTTGAACTTTTTGTTGACAATTTTTCAGAGGCTCTTAGCTTCTAAATGGATTCTGAGATTCAGACTAGTACTTTTTTATTGAGAGGTTCTTTTTTTATGTTGTCTTTGAAGAGTATAGTTTTGGAGAAATGCTAAGTGCTTATTTTTTTTTTATTAATTGATAGTTTGATGATATTTAAGAGGTAAATTTGATAGAAATCTGCCTTGGAAATTAGCCATTTAATTTTTTTTCTTTTTAAAAGTACCTTTAATGGTAACTACCATAGTTTTACTGTGCTTACAATTAGACTTAGACCTTCAATTTATTACTGTGAAAGGCAAATGACCTCCTGATATTTTAAGCTATAAATAGAAGACTACAGTATTATGTTTTTTGACCTGTATTGAATACTCATTTTGTTTCTTTTTTAGATCATTTTCCATATTAATTGACAAATATTCTTAAAATTATAATATTACTAAATTGGAACTTTTTTTTAGGATTACCTTTTTATCAGTTAGGGTAATAAAGAGTAGGATTTACAGCTTAGCACCTCTGTTGATTATAAATTTGTTATTTTGGAAATAATACTTCTTTACAATGGATAATCAGTTCTTATAGCAGTATAAATAGTATATATGTGGGTGTATATAGATATATGTGCTAATATTAGTAACTAATTAAACATAAATTATTGTTTTTTTCATGTTTTCAGTAAGGTCTACATACCATTTGTTTATGCATGTTAAAAAATTTGTGCTTGTTCTGAATTTACATTGAAATAATAAAGTAACATTGTCTTGAAATTAGTAAATTAAACTAGTATAGACTTAGAAGTTGCAAAGCTTAGGGAAAAAAATGCACATTTGCTAAAACTAGTAAATTGTAATTTTTATTTATGCTGTTCCTAAATAGGCATAACCATTAGTTAAAGTGATTCTAAAATCAGATTTGAATTCCTTCCATGTTTAGAGATAATAGGCAGATAGTATTGTTCAGAGGTTTAACCCTAGGATTTTAAATAGGACTTTCACCATTGAAACCCAGCATGATGTTTTACAAATTTTGGTCCATATGCTGTATAGGTTAGCATGTCTTATAAATCACCTTTAGGAACTCATAATGGAAATGTGTAGCCAACTACCTTATGATTAGTTCTTCTAAAATGTCTTTAAATTATTGTTTAAAAAAATTTTTTAAAGTAAGATATATAACCAGAAAAAATATGGGAAAGATGGCAAATTCTTTTTCAGGGTATATTTTAAAATTTTTATATTACTAGGTCCCCCCCTTAAGAATCGTAAGATTATTTTAGTGCTGTTGTTATGAGTGTTTATTAAAAAGACATTTAGGCATTAAGCATCATCTTACAGTTAAGTATACATGCTTAAATCAGGTCCAGAATTTAACCTTTAAAAAGGTACCAGAGTTTAAAGAACTTTTTTAGTTGTAGGCTTTCCCCAGACTAGTCTTTGGAACTAGAATTCTTTTAGGCATCTATTTTAGTGAGATACCTTATGAACAGAATGAGTTTAGTGTTTTACCTTAAAAGAGAAACAGGGTTTTTGTTTATCTTCTATTAAAATTTAATGCATTCCTTTGGAGCATTTGTCACAATTGTTTGCATCACAAGTAGGTAGTTTTAATAACAGAACAGAGCACTCATTAAGGATCAGATTTCAATTCGCACATACTTGGTTTTTTCTTTTTCATTTTTTTTTACTAATTTGGTTATTTGCCATTTCTGGGGATTAAACTTTAAAAAATGTTCTTCTTTTCTGTATCTGATGTTCTGTGTGCTATTAGTGATGCAGCCAACACGAACGGTTGTCATGTGTAACACAACTTTCGATCACCGCGAAAACACCGTCCTGGGAAAGCGTCCATGCTTGATATCGTTTGGTTCATGAACATTAAGTTTCCAGTACAGGTGACCCATAGCTCAAAGTGTTAAATAATTGTCTACATTATTCAATTTTTAAAATAATATTCCATTAATGTTAGTCTTTGAAGTTTAGCTCACTTTTATTTTTCCTAGTAGAGCAGGATAAAAGGAAAGACTTAATAAGTTCTTATTTATATGTTTATGTGGATCTGATAGATAGATTCATTTGTTATTATTATTATTTAAGTGCAAGGGTAATTGTAAAATCATAGTGTAAAGTTTGTGTGGTGCTTCTGCTTTTTGTAATGTTTGGAATTTCCCTCTGCAGGTAAAATCCCAGAGGAATCCAAAGCCCTTTCTTTACTGGCTCCTGCTCCAACCATGACAAGTCTGATGCCTGGTGCAGGGTTGCTTCCTATACCAACTCCAAATCCCTTGACGACAGTATGTACTCTAACCCCTCTCGTACATGCGACAAATACTCAACTATGCAATTAGTTAAAAGTCTCAGAAATTATTTCCATTTTGTAGGGTTTTTTTTAATTAATGGAGACAATCCAAAGCAATTTAATTTTTGCCACCCTGACCCCCACCTCTACCCACAGTATCACTAATTTAAGATCCCTTTCGGGGTTACTCAAATAGTAATTGAGCATTTATTTAAATTTGAGAATTCATATAGACCATTCATTAGAAAATGGTTTTCTAATATTAGCATTACCAGATGGGAGATTAATTAATTCTGAAGGCATTTGGTAGAACTGAAGTGGTATCCTGCTAGAGGGTAGAGCTGGGAAATAAGTGGGTCAAGGCACTGGGCTAAGGGCAGGGACTACACTGTAACTAATGGTCAACTCCAAAATGAGGGATTTATCTTTCACTACTCCACAAATTGCTGTCTGTCAGATACTCCTCTAA